CACGTTTCCAGCAGCCCCTGCCCGGGCCCGGAGCCTGCAGAGCCCCGCACGCCCTCGGCTCCACGGGGAAGCCCGTCTCGGGCATGGACAGGATTTGGCCCTCGCTGAGACACTTTGCTCTCCGGACATGTACTTGCATGCGCTGCACAGGCAGGGAAAACGCTTAAAGCGCTTTGAAACGTGGCAGCGGCGAAAACCGTTCATTACCTAAGAGGCTTTGCTCTCGCTGGTCTTGGTTTTCCTCGGCCCGTCCATCGATCCTGCCCTGCTCACGCTGGCTATAGGTCAGTGTTTACGTTGGTGCAGTCCCTGATTTGCAGCACCGTGAGCAGGGGAGAATTGGGGACACAGTGAAAGAACAGAAATAAACTGGGCTATGCTGGAGTTCCGCCCCAGCCCCACGCAGGAACAAAAACTTTCCGGATGGGAGTTTTTCAGAGCCCTGGAAAGCAAAGGGATTCTGCTCTGGTTAAATGTGTCTTATCTTTCTTGTGAGCATGAACGGGGGAGAAAGTACCCGAGGCATGTGCTGCTGCTGCTCCTGCGCACCCCGGACACGGTGGGAGCCTGGGGACATTCGCTGCTAAAATAATTCCTTGTCCTGACGACTGCAGCGTGCTGCCAGGAGGAAGCGTCAGCTGCACGTTAGAGGGGATAAGGGATTTCAGTTTATCTGAAATGGCCCCAGTTGCTTCGTGGAGTATTTTAAGATTTGAAAATAAAAACAAATTTGCAGTTTAAAAATGGGACGTCTTCTTTCCTCCTTGCTGCATACAGCTCCAAATGTGCCATAAGCGAAATGATTTGGAAGCAGCAGAAAGCCCAGGAGCTGCCGGCGTCCAGCCCAGACCGCCGGGTGAAATCCGGGGAGGGCGTTGATGGGTTTGGTCCCAACTGACAGCATCACCCAGAGGGCCCGATCCGCGTTTCCCTGCGTCCGAGGGCGCAGGGTGTGCAGGGTCAGGCCAGAGCCCTGAGCGGTGCCGCAGGACACAGCTCCACCCCGGGCAGCACAGGATTGAGCCCGTCAGGATCGATGTCTGTCTGCTGCGGGGGTGAGCTGTGGGCTCTGCCTGCAGCACAGGGACCTGCTGGCTGCAGTGGGCTCCCCGCACCCTTGGGGAGGGGTCAGCCCCGTCCCCCCGCTCTGCCCCCACGGCAGCAGGCACCCGGGAGCCCCGCGCCATCCCTCGGCGTTCGTGGTTTGGTTCTGGGTCCTCTCCGAGCCCTCAGCACTGGCATTGAGCACCCCAGCGCCAGCGGCTTTAGGGGATGCCCTTTGCCTGTGCTTCGCTGACGGGTCTGTCCCTTCGCCCCAGCTACGACCGAGGGGCCACAGTGGCCGGCGTGGTGGGCGTCGGGCGGCTGATCACCGGCATGGACCGGGGGCTGCAGGGCATGTGCGTGAACGAGCGGCGTCACCTCATCGTGCCCCCTCCCCTGGGCTACGGCAGCATCGGCGTGGGTAAGGGGCTGCGGCACGGCAGGGGGGTGGACGGGGGAAACCCCCGGGGCCGGCGTTAGTGGGGACAGAGCTCCGGTGCCCAGCTGGCAGGCGCTGGCGAAGGGTGGCTCCGTTACCAGGGTGCCCTCAGCAGGGGTCCCCCAGCAATGAGGGGTCTTCCCCCCAGGCTCTGCTGCTTCCTGGGGGCTGGCACCTTTGGCCAGCAGCCCCAAGCAGCCATGGCTCAGGGGCACTTCAGACCCTTGGCTTGGTGGGCTCGGCGCTGCTCCCACCTAAAGTGCTCTGTCCTCACTGCCACCCCTTTAGCGGGGCTGATCCCCCCGGATGCCACGTTGTACTTTGACGTCGTCATGCTGGACATCTGGAACAAGGATGACAAGCTGCAGATCACCACCCTCTCCAAACCAGAGCACTGCAACCGCACAGTGGAGAACTCGGACTTCGTGCGGTACCACTACAATGGCACGCTGCTGGATGGCACCCCCTTCGACTCCAGGTATGGGACACAGGCGCTGGGGTGCACCCCTTGCCTCGGGGTACGCGGCACTGGAGCTCAGGCGTACCCTCCGCCTCGGCTCTGGGGGCAGCGGGGATGGCAGGGACCAGGAGACACTGGCCTGGGGTGAGACATGGGGGCCCACGCTGCACCCCCGTCAAGAAAGACTCCCCTGTGCTCTCCCTCCCTGCACCCCAGCACGGCCGGTGCAGCTCTGTCACCCCCAGACCAGCCTCCTGCATGGCACCGCTCAGGCTGGGGGGGCTGGCGTGGCCTGGAGCCATCCCCCCTTCCTTCCTCCCCACCAGCTACAGCAAGGACAGCACCTACGACACCTACGTGGGCACCGGCTGGCTCATCAAGGGCATGGACCAGGGGCTGCTGGGCATGTGCGCCGGGGAGAAGAGGAGCATCATCATCCCCCCGTTCCTTGCCTACGGGGAGAAGGGCTACGGTGAGTTGGGCATCACCCCATCGTGCCCGGCCCCGTCCCTCCCGGCTCTGCACAGAGTGCCTCAGGACCCGTGTCCGGGCTGACCCGTGTCCCCTCCCCAGGGACCGTGATCCCACCGCAGGCCTCGCTGGTGTTCAGCGTGCTGCTGGTGGACTTCCACAACCCCAAGGACGGCGTCTTCCTGGAGCACCTGGAGGTGCCGGAGTCCTGCAAGCGCAGGGCTGTGACCGGGGACTTTGTCCGCTACCACTACAACGGCACTCTCATGGACGGGACGCTCTTTTTGGTGGGGGGGGGGAAGCGGCTGAGTGAGGAGATCCCCCCGTGTCCTCTCCTGCCCCGCGCTCAGCAGCCGGCTGCAAGGGGAGGCTGGAGAACTGGGGGGGAAGATGGAGGGGAGGGTGGTAACGGGCATGAAATGGGCTACAAAAGACACCGCCCGTTTGCTGCATCCCCAGGAGCAGGGTTTGGCTCCCGGGGGAGCAGAGGCTGGGAGAAGGGGTGCGGATGGGGTGCAGGGGTTGGGGGGGAATGATGGGGTCAGACTCACACACAACGGTGCCGGGGGCTTCTCTCGCTGCAGCTATTCCCGCAATAACACCTACAACACCTACATCGGGAAGGGCTACATCATCCCCGGCATGGACCAGGGCCTGCAAGGGGTCTGCGTGGGAGAGAGGCGGCGGGTGGTCGTCCCCCCACACCTGGCCTACGGGGAGAACGGAGCAGGTAAAGGGCAGCCCCACGGGCTCCGGTGTGCCCACACGCTGCAGTCCCGGGCTGCGGCATCCCCCCCCCTCCAGCCCTGCGCAGCGGCACACCGCGGGGCTGACATGGGGAAAGCGTTGGCCAGGCGGGGCCAGCTCCTCATCTCAGGGGCCACCACCGTCCCCAGGGCTCTGGGCGTTGGGAGGGGGTGTTGTGGGCACGGGAAAGGCCAATGCCGACACACGCAGAGACAGAGCTCCGAGGGACAGACACACCACGGGGCATGGGAAAAAGCAGGGAAAGGCTTTACCGGCCCCACGGCACTGCCAGCACCTCTCCTCCTGCTCCTCCTCCAGGGAACAAAATTCCTGGCTCAGCCGTGCTCATCTTCGACGTCCACATCATCGACTTCCACAACCCCGCAGACCCGGTGGAGATCGAGACCGTCTACCGGCCCGAGGGCTGCAACGTCACCACCCGCGACAGAGACTTTGTCCGCTACCACTACAACTGCTCCTTGCTGGATGGCACCAAGCTCTTCTCCTCGTGCGTGCTCGCTCGCCCGCGCACCTTTCCTTCACAGGGCCAAAGCCCGGCAGGCACTGAGCCGGGCAGGGCTGGGGGCGGCCGGGCACTGGAGCGGCACTGGAGCATCGGCTCTTTGCAACGGGCAGCGCCGGAGCATCGCCTGCAGTGCTGCAGGGATGGGGCAGCCGGGCACAGGGGTTGGGGGCTCAGCAGAATGGAGGGCGCAGGGTTTGGGGTGGTCAAGTGGAGGGCGCGGGACTTCAGGGCATGGTGGGACAGAGGGCACAGGATTTGGGGCACGGCAGGATGGAAGCAGGTGATTTGGGGGCACGTCGGGGCTGCCCACTGGATCTGAGGGGCTTTCTCAGCCGCATGGTCTTCTCTGTGCCCCCTGCAGCCACGACTACGAGAAGCCCCAGGAGGTGACTCTGGGGACCAACAAGGTGATCGAGGGCCTGAACAGTGGTCTCCTCAACATGTGCGCAGGGGAGAGGCGGGTGCTCATCGTCCCCCCCCACCTGGGCCACGGGGAGAGCGGAGGTAGGGGAGCGGCGTGCGGCCGCCCGTGCACTGCAAACGGGGGGTTCTGCCCAGCTGGACCGTCGCTGGGCTCCTTCGAGCCCTCGTCCCGGCTGGGGCCGGGAGGCTTTTGCCCATCGGGGGCCACGCTTTGCTGGGCTCCCCGCCGTGCAGCAGCCTTGGCTTCCTTTGCAGCCCGGGGGGTGCCCGGCAGCGCCGTGCTGCGCTTCGAGGTGGAGCTGATCTCCATGGAGGAGGGGGTTCCCGAGGGCTACCTCTTCATCTGGCACGGGGACCCGCCGGCGAACCTCTATGAGCAAATGGACCTCAACAAGGACGGGGAGATCCCCTCTGATGAGGTGAGCGAGGGCCCCGAGTGCGGGAGGGGGAGGAAACGGGGGCGCAGGGGAACCCCCCGGGGAGCAGCACCCAAAGGACACTGCTGTCCGCGGGCACTCGGGAGCCTGGAGAGCAGTGCAGGAAAAGCACCTCGGCCCAGAGCATCGCTGCTGGATGCGGGCAGGGCTGTGCCGGGGCAGGGACACCGAGGGCAGCCCGTGCTCTTGTCCTGCCCTGTCCCCGCTGCCGCCCTCGGCACCGGTGTGGTGCTCCCTGCCATGCCCGGTGCCGGCTGTGCGGAGCAAAGCGGCATCTCTCTCCTCTCCCCGCTGCAGTTCTCCACCTTCATCAAGACCCAGGTGGCGGAAGGGAAAGGCCGCCTCATGCCCAGCTCTGACCCGGAGAAAGTCATTGCCGACATGTTCAGGAACCAGGACCGCAACCAGGACGGGAAGATCACCTCTGAGGAGCTGAAGCTGAAGTCGGATGAGGACCAGGAGAAGATCCACGAGGAGCTCTGAGGATCAGACCTCACTTTTCCCCGGAGACAGGACTCGCCCCCGCTGTGCCCCAGCCGGTCTCCCCCCCGGCTGCCCCGGCAATCTGCCCCTGCCCCTCCCCCCCCACCCCCTTATTTTTTAACTGAGGGTTTTTTTGATGTGTTCCAACTAAGCAGGAAAACTCACCGACCCCCAGCGAATAGACCCAGGCAAGAAGGTGGGAAACACCCACGTTCTTGGGAGTCTCGATACCCCACGGGGACAGCAGCACCCACGTTTCCTCGCGCTGTCCGTCCCCTCCTGCTCCGCGGCCCTGCAGACGACACCTCTGCCGTGGAGCGGGACCGAGGATGCCCGGGCGACTCTGGAGCCCTGCCCTGCCCCGCTCTGCTGCCAAACCCCGCTTTGTCCCCTGCTCTCAGCTCCCCACGGAGGGGCCGGGGCAGCGGCGTCCCCCCCCGAGCCCCTTCGTCCTCCGCCAGCGACTGCACGTCCCGCTCCAGCCCGCTCGCCTGCCCGCGCTGCCTCCTGGGGCAGGCAGGCAGGAGGGGGGCATCCCCCTGCTTCTGCCGCAGCCTTTTGTAGTTTAGGGTTAGGGTTTGGGTTTTTTTTACATATGCATATGAAATTCTTTAGAGAGGAGAAATAAAGAGAAGCCTTTCGCGCCGGGCCCTGCTGCTGGCCCAGCCCCCGCTCCCCGCTGCCGTCCTCCCCGCAATGAGAGGCCGGAGGGGGCTCAGTGTTCCCAGGGCAAAACCCAGGTGCCCACATGGATCGGCCGTTCCGGAAAGCCTGCCCCTCCGCCGAGCCAGCGGGGATGGGACCTGGCAAACCCCATGTGAGGCAGGAGAAGGAAAACAGAGTCTCTCCCACCCAGGCGCTCAGGGAGCAGCATCGTCCCCATCTGCACCTTCCCCCCCCACGACAACCCTCAGTCACTGAGAAAAATCAGCCCAATTTGATTTTGATGCCCAAATGCAGCTAATTAGGTGGGCGCTCTCAGGTTTGCCAGTTGTGACCAGCACGGCTCCATCACCTCCCATCGGCTCTAAGAGCTTTTGCACGGTGAGTCTCGCAGGCGGAGGTAAAAGAAACGCGAGAACAGAACAGTGCGAAGGGTCAGAGCGAACCCCTCAAACCATGACTTCCACCTTGCACCAAATAAATCGTTTCTACTGGTTTCCACGGAGTTCGCCCTCGTGTCAGGTTACTGTGCTGTGGAATGTTCCTGCGTGTCCGGGCAGCGGCGCAGAGACAATCCTCACCCGTCCCTGGCAGCGCGGTGCCCGGGGGGATTTCAGGCTCCAGCAGCTGCTGGGTGGGCCAAGAGAGAGAACCCAAACCTCCGCTCCCGCGATCCTCCAGCAAAGACGGACGCTGCTCCAGCTCCAGCGCAGAGCACCCGGTGGGCTCCAGCAGGGATGGGGACGACCCAGAGCCGGGGAGCAGAGACGTAGCCGCCGGCGCCAGCCCTGGGGAGGAGAGCGGCTCCAGCGCTGGGTACGCACCGCCCGGGGCACCGCTTCAGCCAACGTTCTTATTTCAACACGGAGAGTGGAGTCCGCACTTTCAGAAGTCGCATTCACTCACCCATCACGTGGAGGGCAGTGAGGACTGAACCCGGCGCAGCCCGGAGCTCACCAGCCGCGCTGCCCCGTGCGACGGCGACAGGGCAGAGCTGCCAACGTGTGCTGGGCCACACTGTCACAGTAACGGCCCCAAAGAGCCGTATCGGGGCTCACCCTGCACCAGCACGGCTCCGGCCCCCATCAGAGCAGGCAGCAGGACGGGACGTGAAAGCAGTTTCCCTCGTAAGGGTCTGAATTTGCCCCTTGCTGAATCGGGGCTGTCACAGCTTTACTCTTTACGCAGAAATAACGCTGCCCTGAGAGCCCAGGATCGGCCCAGCAGTTTAAGACAGAAACACAGTTAGCTAAAATCTTCCTTAAAACCCAAAATGCTGCCCTTGGCCTCTCCTCTCCCATCCACACTGTGGGCTGCAAACGCGCCGCTCTGCCGCTGCCACCCGAAGCGCCAGCCCGGCCCTCGCCGAACTCGCTGCTCGCTTTGTGCAGCAGCCGCAGAGGAGCTCCGCGGGGACGACTGGAAAAGCCTTTTTTTTACAGCACAAGCAGTAAGGGAGCAAGAGGGAGCGCAGGGCGGGGGCGCGGGGCCAGGGAGCCGCAGGGTTTCTGTGGTGATGTGGAGCCGGGCGATGCTGTGCCCGGAGGGGCCACGACAGCCCCTCGGCCGGCGGCACTGCCGCAGCTCAGCCCCGGCACTTTGAAGCTGACAGAAAACAGGCTGAGAGAGAGAGAGATTTGTTTTCTTAGACAGGAACACAGTAAAACTAAACATTTTCCATCTAAAACAGGTCTGTCCTCAAGCCACAGCAAATGATCTCCACTCCTGCGCTCAGCTGCTGAAGCAAGCGCAGAACGTCTCTACCCGAAACGTGAAACGGTTTGTTGTGGCCTCAGGCGGTGGTGGGGAGGGAGTCCCAGCGGGATGGAGTCCGAGCAGGATGGAGTCCCAGCGGGATGGAGCCCCAGCGGGAAGCAGCGGAGCCAGGCGCAGTTGGGGCAAAGGGAGTGGAGAAGCTTCCTCCGCCTCCCGCTGCAGGGCTGACCGAAGGGGGTTAGCGAGGTCGGGATGTGCAGAGCACCCGAGAGCCAGGGCAGGGAGCCTGCCCAGCGTCAGGATGGAGCCCAGCAGGTACCAGAAGATCCACTCCAGCTTTGTCGAGGCAAGGACGTTGGCTGCCCAGGTGCCTTGCTGAGGGGCCGGAGCTGGGACGGCGCCTTCCCAGCTCATGTCTCCGTAAGGATGTACCGGAGAATCCCATTCACCACATCCAGCGTCTCATCGCGCTCCAGCACGATGTCATAAGCATCCAGGTACTTCCCCCTCTGCTCTTCCACCTGCAGCGCGGCCACCGGGACAGCGTGGAGGGGAGAGGGCCACAGAGAGAGGAAAGAACTGTAAGCACCAGCAGCCAAGAATGAAGATGCGGCACCCAGAGCCCTTGCATCTCCTGATGCTACTGGGAAGAGGGGTCAATAACCACCCTGACAATGCCCCAGGTGCACCGGGAGCTCAGCAGACACCCCCCAGCTCCCTCCGCACACCCCACGGGAGCTCATACGAATCTCTCACGGCCCCCAAATCACTCGGGCAGCTGCTGCCCCTCTCTGCTGCCCCTCAGGCCGCGCACCTGGCAGGGAAGCGAGACAACCACTTCTCACACCCACCTTGTCGTTGAGAAAGCCAATCTTGAGGATGTTCTCCACACTGGGAACGCCATCTGCCATCGTCAGGTCACCCATGGAGTCCCCCAGCAAGATGACGCTCGTCCTAGTGCTCAGCTGCTGGAAGTACTCCGTACCCTGCAGGACGCTGTTGTTCTTGTTGTAGGTGTGGATGAGAGGTCCCTTGAAACGCGTGAGGACTCCCTGCGCAAACAGGACAGACACGTTGATCCCCTCTGCTGTGCCGCAGCCTCGGTACCCTTTGTGGACTGGGCAAAGGGGGGATGCTCGCAGGGCACCAGCTCTCGTCTCAGAGACACCCTCACGGACTCTGGAAACGCAGCCGCCACGAAACACCTGCAGACGGTCCCCAGGAGTCCCCTTTTGAGGGGCAAGCCCTTCCCAAGGGTGAGAACAAACCCAGAGGATGGAGATCCCACAGACCTCGGCGGGGCTCTGCGCTGCCCTGGAGCTGGTCAGGGGCGGTGGAAAGCCGCAGTCAGGGTGCCCCAGGGCAGCGCAGGGCCCGTGCAGAGGGCAGGACTGTCACACTGTCCCATGCGCCCCCGAGGACAGCCTGTCCCCACACACCACCCGTGGGAACAGAGGGCTTCATTGTAAGAGATGTGCAATTTTCTAATGTGCACTGGGACTTCTCAGGCTTTACACATCGACAAAGGCCTTCCACGCCACTGTGAAGGACATCTGGCCTTCACATCAAGAGAGACCTCTGTGGTTAACTCCATCCTCTCCTCACACCAGGACAGAACACACGGTGCTGGACACAGAGACAGCAGCACACTTCGGCCACCGAAAAGCAAGTTTGGAAGGTGAGGAGTCCCTGAGATCGTGAGCAGATGCTCAGCTGTTCCTGCGCTCCACGTGCCCACCTTACACCCCTCTGCTCTCCCTCACCGCTGGTCCAGCTCCTGCTGCGGGCAGGGGAACTCTAACAGCCCCAGTGCTGATGGGCAGAGGGCTGCTACGCTGGCAGCAGGTCGCGGTTCCTGAAGCAGAGCACACGGGGCAGGAGGCCCCAGCCAGCCTCAACACCTCCCCCGGGACCCAGCAAAGGGTCAGCTCCATCCACAGGGATCAAATACTTCGAAATGTTCAGAAGCAGCTTTTAACCCAGCGGTGTCTCTCAAACGGATCGCAGCCCTCAATTCCAGTCCAACAGCTCTCCTCTCTGCAAGCCCACCACGCGTACGGGATGCAGAAACTCACATTATCGTCGAAGTCCATGTAGTTGGACACCACGTTGACGTTTGAGTAGAAGACGTTGGCCTGACGGATAATCTCTTCAAGGATGTCACCGACACCAGCAGAGAAGATGAACAGGGGGATGTTGTACTTATGCAGCTGATCAAATAACTCAGTGAATCCATCCCTAGAGCAGAAGTGTCCGTTACACAGTATTGCATTACCACCTCCCAGCTCGCAGCGAGGTGCCCGCTGCACCGCGGGCGGGGAGCGCTCTCAGCCCAGCTATGACGCTCCTATTTCTGCCCGGGACTTTCCAAACAGACACGCATGCGTGAGCTCTGCAAAAAACATGAGCTTTTTGTGGCTCCTGCATTTCTGTGTGGGGACAGTGCATGCACGGGGTGTGCAGCAGAACCCCAGACCCCTCCTGGAGCGGCGACCAGCGAGGAGCCGCACAGGACCACGCTGCACGGGAGCGATTTGCCCAGCAGGTCCCGAACGCACCCAGCTTCCCACCGGGAGCACAAGGCACAGCGCGCCCGCACACTCACCCGCGAGGGGAGGTGCCACCAGCCCTCTCAGACACCCCGTTAGAGACACGCAACAGGTCGGACTGGTTGTGAGGACGATCAGACCAACGTGTAACGGTCTCGGTCTGCCAGGACACCATTTGAAAACCCGGACAGACGGCACCATCTCCTCTCTGAGAGCGGCGGCTCATTCAAACCAAGGCTCCCCGAGACAGTTTTGGGACCGTCACCGCCAAGGCCAGCTTTAACAGCAAGTTTTAGCGCAGTATTTTTGTGCTGTGGGTGGAGTTTGATGCCGAGCCAAGGGCCTGGACAAGGCCCAGCAGTTAGAGTGAGCGGAGAGAGGACCTCTCCTGGAAGAGGGGAGCTGCTCGCAGCCAGGGAGAGAGCTCAGGCTGTGGTTGTGGCGCTGACTTTTGGCTCTTTCATGGTTAGAGCTCGGCCCCAGGAAGGAAGGGAGATTTGCATCTGCCACGCTGCGGAGACTGCGCACAGAGCAGGGTGAACGCAAGACCTGCTTGCACAGCGGCAGGAGGGAAAGGGCCGCAGGCAGCACAGCGGACCCCAGGCCCGTACCTCGGCATCACGTCCGATTCTCTCACAATCTGGGCTATGTCACCCCTCTGGATCTTCTGCTGCGACAGCAGCTCGTGGGCCCTGGTCCACCTAGGGAAAGGCAGGGAGTGAGCTTCCCGGCAGCGACCTTAAGGCAGTCAGAAAAAGAACAACCACAACTTCCCGGTATTGCCACCAAGGCGAGAGACAGTTCAAGCCTTGTGCCTTGTAGCCCCCGGGGGCGAGGAGTTGCCAGGACAAGGCCAAGCTCATCACATACAACCACTCACCACTCCACCATGAGGGGACGTTTCTCTTCCAGGGTCCGGTTGGGATCGATTTCAATGGGATAGTAATAGTGCAGCAGATCTTTGAGCTGGAGCGTTGTGCAGATGGAAAAAGAACAGAGTGAACATCACGTCTAAAGAGACTAAACAACAAAAAAAGCGTTTCTAAATTCCTCCAAAGCATCACACTTCCTAATGAAAAGCACAACCAAACCCGTTTCACTGAGCAACTGCGCTCTGAGGAAATCTGGAGACTGTGGAGGAAGCGTTAACCCCCTGGCCGCCCGGCGGACTCTCACTGTGCTTCAAATACCGCAGGTACGGATGAGCACACACGCCCCCTTCCGCCTCTTAGCACACCAAAAAGGCCCACAGCCGAGCATGCAAATTAAATTTCCCTTTTTAACTTCTCCGTCCATCACCATCGGCTGAAACGCAGCCTGGACGCAGGCCCCTCTCTCTGTCCGGGCAGCGGGGCACAGCTGGGAGAGCGGTCACACGAGCCACTGCGACCTCCTGATGATGGGCGAGAGGGGCGAAAAACACAGAGCCAAGAAGCAGTGCCTCGCAAAACCGCACCTACCTTCTTCTTGCCGTCCTCACTGATAACGTGACTGTTATCGAGGATGTCTGTAAAGACAGTAAGATACCAGTGTTGTAGCCCAGAAACATAAAAAGGCTTTCTAAAAGGCAGCTGTCCCCAGCTCTGCCCGAAAACGAGCCGTGTGTGGCACATCGCCCCGAGCACGGGCTCACTGCGGGGTCTCAACGCGGCAGGTCCCACTTCCAACCCGCAGCTCGCGAGCGGCTGTGGGCTGCCCGGGGGTCCGCTGCCGCTGCTGCAAGAGGCCGAGGCCCAGAGCTGCACCCAGAGCAAACAAGACGGGGCGGTGAGGCCCGGCACAGGAGGGGGGCAGAGGCTGAGAGGAGCCGCAGGGAGAGAACACAAACACGGAAAACACACAGAATTCACAACGGTAAAAAAAAAAGGCTTCAACTCACTGTGCGAAGTGGGGCAGCGTCTGCCGTTGCACCCAAACCTGCTCAGCGTCATGTCGAAGTCAGAAATGACCTGGAAGGCGAGAGAAGACCAAATCTGTGTGTGACGCAGCGCTCTGCCTTTGCCACAGCCAGGCAAGGGTGCTGCTGCCTCACGGGCGCACATCCAGCGCCGGCGGGTCTCACGTGAGGGTGCACAGCGCACCCTGACGCCGCTGCCAGCCACGAACCAGATGTCCTCATCTGAGAGAGCCAGCACCCCTCCCACCCCACCACTCTTATCAGCACCAAATGGCTTAATCCTGCTGACGTACCGCCGTGGGTGGAGGGGGGTGTTTGGGGACTGGCGCATATTTATAGCTTGTACCACAGAGAAGGAAAAGGCCCATCCAGAGAGAGCCACCGGCCTGGGCATCGACAGGAAAAATAGCTCGGTCCTTCCTCTCGTCTCAGTCTTATAGAATCATCGAATCACTGACTGGTTTGGGCTGGAAGGGATCATTAAAGGCGATCTAATCCAATCCCCTGCCATGGGCAGGGACATCTCTGACCATACCAGGTCGCTCCGAGCCCCGTCCAACCTGAACTGGGATGTTTCCAGGGATGGGGCATCTCCCACCTCCCTGGGCAACCCGGGCCGGTGTCTCACCACCCTCAGAGTAAAACATTTCTGCCTTAGATTGCATCTAAATCTTCCCTCTTTCAGTTTAAAGCCATTACCCCTCGTCCTATCGCAACAGGCCTTGCTAGAAAGTTTGTCCCCATCTTTCCTGGAGCCCCTTTAGGGACTGGAAGGAGCTCTAAGGTCTCTCCAGGCTGAACCCCCCCAACTCTCCCAGCCTGTCCTCCCAGCAGAGGGGCTCCAGCCCTCCCAGCATCTCTGGGGCCTCCTCTGGCCCCGCTCCACCAGCTCCGTCTCCTTCTGCTGGTGGGACCCCCCGAGCTGGAGGCAGCACTGCAGGGGGGTCTCCCCAGAGCAGAGCGCAGCAGAGGGGCACAATCCCCCCTCGCCCTGCTGGCCACACTGCTGGGGATGCAGCCCGGGGTGCAGGTGGCTTTCTTGGGTCACCACTTGGACATTGGGCCGTTGACTGCAACTCTTTGAATGTGACCTTGTTCACCGAGTGGTCCATCTGTCAAATCCACATCTCTCCAATTTAGAGACACGGATGTCATGCAGGACAGTGTCAAATGCTTGGCGCAAATGATTGCACAGTACCTGCAGCTTCCTCGTCCCCTGCTCCTTGATGGACCGGATCAGCCCCATCACACGCTCGGGCTGCTCCATGCGGACCGTGGCGTTCTCCAGCTCAGGCACCTGCGGGCAGAGCCCCCCTCAGTGCCGCCCCGGGATGCCCGGCAGCTCCGGGGGGCCGAGACCCCCCCGCCCC